AGAGCATCGTAAACCTCCCACTTCAGCTGCAAATTTCGTTTTAAATTTTTAAAGGGATGATTGACACTATTTCTGATGAGATCATAGAACCCTTATCATTTCGATATCCTTCATGACAGAATTTAAACTTTTCCAGATGAAGGCAGTGGTCTAGATTACCATTTTTCAGAAATTTGCCACTTCTTTCCAGCCATGTAGCTTGCTTGAAGACCGCTTGATGTCATGTTTATGAGAGTTCAGATAGATGATGAATTATGATGCTTATAATTATGACGATAGATGATTATTTTGTGATTCTTTGCTCTATTTTCACCTGAGTAGAAGTTTATGTCATCAAGTGTCCGTTATGTTGCCTGGGAGGATAAGAGCATTGTAAGCCATTGGCTCGGACTGTAAGGTTTTTTCACTTCGTGATAAGCATGCATTACACTACATTGTAGAAGGGCATGGAGTGTAGGTATTCTGATACCCCTCATGTCAATTTTCACAACTTCAGCAGAAAACGGTGATTTGAATGACCTAATTCCCCAATCTTGATCAGTTCACGAACCAAATGCGAACTTCGGTCAGCTGAGAATCTAGACAGGGGGCACGGAAAAAAGGTTGATTTTGATTGATGAAAAAGTTTGAATGGTCCATTGAGGTTGCCGTCTCAGCGAATGTCAAGTGAGATCGCAAGTAGAAGGGATCTTGTGGAATCGTGATTTGGCAAAACACCAATAGTGTATATTGCCTTACAATAATAGTTGTGGTTCGTCATGAAACTATGTAAAATTCAATGGTAAATGGCTTAATCACCTTTAAATTAAGGTTGAGCTAGCTGGTCAGCCCCTCATCATCGAACTCTATTGACTCGTGGCCTTCGCTGCTGTCGTGTCCATTCAGGAGCACAGATAATATTTAAGATCAACAGAAATAGCTTTTCGAATACTATGTCCATCACACTATCACGAAGGATTTCTGATTTGAATCCTTGCAACAACTTTGGATATCAGTTCCAGTTCCGCTATGAGAGGATGCTCAAAAACCAGGATGCTCAAAGATAACGGTAAAAAATGGTTGTTTTGATGACATTTTTAGAAGATGCTACCACCAACTAAGTTAACCTGGTATTGATCTTCTGTCAATAATCATGTTGAACATAATCTCCGAAGGTGAAGAGTTCGTATTCATATCAATTCGAAATTCAATTAACATATATATACGTATATGTTCCCTTGTCAGTTAATAGTGGGGCGACTAACTTGACCCTACATTATCGATTTTTTCAGGACTCACAGAGTCTGTAAGGTCATGCTTTTTCGAACCACATTAGTGCAATTACTTCAAAGATGTATTGTACTGTATTCGACATTATCGAGGAAGTTATGCTATAAGCTCTAAAAATTGTAGTGTGAAGAAGCGTTAATAAAAGACCCGAACAGAGATAAGAAAGTAAATATATTGGAAGATATTGTATGGATGCAAAAGTTTTCTCCCCTCCTTTTCCGAAAATATCTCAATATCGAACTAACCTGAAGATTAGGGGCACCATTCACTACCCGACCCCAACGATCAGGCAGCTTGTCCATTCCTTCCTCCCAAAAGGACGGGGACTGGGACTTGAAGTAGTCGTCGAGTGCCTTCCTGACATTATCTTCTGTTTCAGCTTCAACTTCTGATGTGGAGTCGAGGCGGAGAAGATTTATTGCTGGAGACGAACTGGATGCAATGATAACTAGTGAAAAGGCCGGGTTTATATACCAGTTGACCTGGTCAAATACCCTGGTCAAATTGCAGTAGCATCAGATCAAAACCTACAGTTTGACGCCTAAAGGGTGGTCTTTAATTGACTATGGTAGACCACATGTGATAGGTAGAAGCCTACAACACCTCGCCTTTCAGTTACAAAGAACATATATAGAGTTAACAAAACAAAAGCCAGAACAAGTTATGAGGATCATGATTTCTTCTTCGGGTCTACCATGAGTCGACGAGGCGAGTGGCGAGTCCGTAGTGAACGTCGCAGTCGCGGTGTCGACGATGGGTTGAACGTTGAGCGTCTCCGTGATCCGGCGTCGTCAGGTTGAGTGGAGTTGATGCCGTACCATTCACCGGCGTTGGTTGATCTCTGCCAACAGAAGGGCAGAAGGGTGTCGAAAACATCGAGTAGTTGGCTAACCACTGGCTCATCGTCGCGTGGCCTCAACTGGTTGGCGTGTCTTGTCCATAACAGGTTTCCGCAGCGTACGCGATACATGACGTTTCCGAGGCCTCTAGCGATGATGCCAGGTGTCCAAGTAGGTTTTGCTTGGATATAGTCTTTAGTCAAGACAGCACCATCCACGTCAAAGTGGCGTGGTTTGGCTCCCTGATGTCTGTTGAACTGATCCTCCATTTTGGTGTCACGAAGTCCTGTGCTGTCTTCTGAGGATGGCATCATCAGGTCTAGTTCAGTGCGAATACGGCGGCCAAGAAAGTTTTCAGCAGGGACAGATGATTGTGTCCGGATGGGCAGGGTTCGACCGGTAGGCCATCAGGAAAGCCTGAAGCGCTTCTGTCGCTGGTTCCTCCCCCTTCAATTAGGCCAATCCTCTCTTGAACGTGTCTACGAAGCGTTCCGCTTGCCCATTGCTCTGCGGATGAAAGGGAGGAGATCGAACATGTTTGATTCCGCGACGGCGGCAGAAATCCATAAATGCTGCTGAAGTAAACTGGGTGCCGTTGTCAGTGATGAGTTTCTTCGGGTTCCCGAACTGTGCGAGGACTTTTAATAAAGCTTTGATTGTTGCCGACGTAGTGATTGAATTCATCTGGATGATCTCGGGTCACTCAGAGAATGCATCCACGATGACAAGATAGAAGTTGCCGTCGAGGGGCCCTGCGAAGTCGGCATGCACTCGAGCCCACGGAGTGAGTGGCGATTGTAGTATAGCCAGAATGGTGAGTCCCGGTTCACTTTTGGTCATTTTCCAGATCGTATGTAGCGTTGAAGCGACTTCGCAATTACGAGACGGTTTGGCGTGAGCAGACAGGAGTCGCTGGTTAATAGTGACTCTCGTCGATTGTAGTATTGCCAGAATGGTGAGTCCCGGTTCACTTTTGGTCATTTTCCAGATCGTATGTAGCCGATAATTTGAGTCAGGGTATGGTCAGCAGTAATTGCCGTTTGGACGGAGCTGAATGAGACCGGTAGTTCATGGCAATGGTCCATTACTTCGGCGCAGAGATCAGCGTCAACAGAAGCAATGACTCGGTCCTCTGGTTCTGGCGAGTGGAGCCCAATCAGTCGTGATAGGGCGTCGGCTTGCCCAAATTCGCTCGTCTTGACGTACTGGATGCTGAAGTTGTAGTTCAGCAGCGTAGTGGCCCATCGTTGAAGGCGATTGGCATGGTAGAAAGGAACTCCTTTTCGCGTTCCGAAAATGGTAGATGAGCGGTTTGTGGTCCATCCTCAGCGTGAAGTGAAGTCAATGTATGAAGCGATGAAATTTTTGGACTGCAAAAATGATAGACAGGGCTTCCTTCTCGATCTGGCTGTACTTCTGTGTTGGCGACAGGGCACGGCTAGCATGGTAGACAGCTTTCTCGTGTCCATCGGAAAATTTTTGTGAGAGGACAGCTCCGATTCCGTAGTTGGAAGCGTCTGCAGCGACGATAAGCGGCAGAGTAAGATCGTAGTGTGCAAGGAGAATGTCGGATTTGAGAGTCTTCTTGATCCGATCAAAGCAGGATTGACATTCCGGTGACCATGTAAAGACGGAGTCTTTTCTGGTGAGTGCGTCCAGTGGAGCGCGTAGATTGTGCAGTTCACGGACAAATGTTCCGTAAAAGTTGACCAACCCGAGGAAAACTCTCAATTGGCTGACGTCTTTAGGTATCGGCATCTTCTGGATTGCTTCGATTTTGGCCGGGTCTGATCGTCGTCCTTCGGCATCGATTATGAAGCCAAGATAGCGGATTTCGGTGTGCAATAGTGAGCACTTTTCCAAGCGTTGGCGGAATCCGAAATCCTGATTCGTCTTAAAACTGCCTCTAGGCGAAAGTTGTGGTCCTCTATAGTTTTCCCGGTGACAATGATGTCGTCGAGGATCGTTGCAGTACTCTCCAATCCTGCAGTCAGAGTGTCCATTTGCCGTTGGAGAATCGCCGGAGCCGCTTTCACTCCAAAAGGTAAGCGATTGAGACGATATAAGCCGCGATGTGTGTTGATTGTGAGCGGCTGCCGGGATTCCTCGTCCATTTCGACCAGTAAGTACGCTTCGGCTAAGTCTAGTTGGGAAAAGTACCTTCTTTCGTTGAGCTTAGCGAAGACATCGTCTTGAGCCGGTTCAGGGTGCTGGTGCTGCTCGAGTGTCGTTCAGGACTGTAGAGAAGTCTGGACAAAGACGGATTGATCCATTCTACTTCTGAACGACGACTACCGGCGCGGCCCAGTCAGAGTGTTCGACCAGCGTCAGAACCTTTCCAGCTACCAGGCGATCGATTTCTTGGCTGATCCTTGGCTGAACAGCGTGCGGAACTAGACGAGCTTCCCGGAAGACAGGAGTCGCGTCCGACACAAGCTTGAGTGAAGCTTTTGGTTTTATGCAGCACCCCAGTCCTGGGACAAAAACAGGACGGAACTGTTTCCGGAGCCGTGTGGTAAGGGACGTTCGTACAGTAGCCAGTGTTGAGTCGGATATGGCACTGCACCTAATACTTCCAACGAGGCGATCAAAGAGCGTCTCGACCTGTGCGATCCAGTCGAGTCCCGGTAGCGAAGAGGTATCGGCCACATGACAGGTTCCACTCCCTTGGCGTCCATCGATGGCGACTGTGCACTTGAAGTAGCCGCGAACATTGATATCCTTGTTCCTTGTTATTCCTTGTCCCTGTCCTTGTCTTTGTCCTTGTTATTTGCGGATTTTAGCTCGAATAGCGGTGGCAGCGACTTCGGACGGCCTACTGCAATCCAGTCCTTCTGACTCAGTAGCGGGACGTCTGCGCCCGTATCTAGGCGCATGCGTGTGGAGACTCCATTAATCTTGACAGTCCGGTAGATGCGTCTGATTGAAGCTATGTCGGCAGTGGCAGAGGCGGCGATGGAGACTTGGTCGGACCTTTTTCGGCTTTTCTTCAGGTTGGAAGCTCTTTCTGTTCAAATTCCTAAAGAATCCCTCCTTGTGTCCAACACGCTTGCATGCGTCGCAGCATTTTTCGATGAAGTCGCATTCCTTCGCCCAGTGGGGTCCTCCATAGCGGAAACATGGCGAAGGCGGCTCTCTGTTCTGGCCCTTCTTGGCCTCCACCACGTTGATTTCGGGTGGGGGTGCAGTTGGTGACGGTGGGCTGCACATAAGTGTGGCGTCCTGCCGAATATCTAGAAGTTGTTGAATTTCAGCGCTGAGCTCCCTCAGCGTAGTTCCAGGATTATTCTTCAGCTTGCGTAGAGCGTGAGTACGAATGTCGGCGTATTCGGGTGCCGCTAAGCCACAGACCCAGACGAGGTATTTCATTTGTTCGGCCGTGATGGCGTTGAACTCTGCCATTTCATGACGTCGATTCACTAACGAAGTGTAGTCGCGAAGGCTTCACCATTGCACTGGGTTTTCAGGTAGGCGTAACCGCGGGCGAAGACTGACGTGTTGTGCCCGAACAGTTCCTGCAGCGTCTTCATAGTCTCCGCCAGTGAGATCTCGGCTGCTATCCTTGGAAGAATGTGTTTGGTGAAGCGGGCGTAGGCAGGTGCATCGAACTTCGACACAATAAGACGTGCCTTCGCTGCTTCGTCGAGAGTGGCACCATCCTGCGTAATGATGTCCTCGTAACCGCTGTACCAGACGTCGAAGGTGCAGCCGTTTTCCGAGTCGTGCGTGAATTTGGGTAGCCGTGCAGACAACGAGTTAGTGACGAACTCAGCTGATTTGGCGTGAGCGGTCGTCGATGTAGATGTCATCGACGAGAACATGCCTCGCATCTCCTTCATGACGGCTTGTAGCATCTTCTCCTGAGCTGCGGCTTTGGTATTGAGAATAGCGCGTAGTGTGTCAGCATCCATCGTGGTCGGCGTTGCTTGATGGAGTTGGCTGCTCGACGTAGTCGATCCTGATCGCCAGTTGATGTGGAGTCGAGGCGGAGAAGATTTATTGCTGGAGACGAACTGGATACAAAAGATTACCTAGAGAAAAGGTCGGGCTTATATACCAGTTGACATGGTCAAATACCCTGGTCAAATTGCAGTAATATCAGATCAAAACCTACAATTTGGCGCCTAAAAGGTGGTCTTTAATTGACTATGGTAGAGTACATGTGATAGGCAGAAGCCTACAACAACTTAAAAAGCGCTGCATATGGCTGAACCGTCACTAGTTGGGAAGAGCGAGGTCCGGGCTGTAAGGGGAGGGGCTGTGCGACAATCAGCCATCCGTACTTCTCCAGCTCGGTCTGGGTCGCCTTTGCGGTGTGAGGTCGGGCGTTGTCATGGAGGAAGTAGATTTCCACTTTCGATCCACGAGTACACTCGACGTGGTCTTCCAATTTTCGAGCTGGCTAATGTTTGTGGAAGCGTCAATCGTCAGTCCTTTCTCAAGCAGCTCCCAGTGCTCAATGCTTCTTCCGGACCACCAATAGGGCAGGAGAACCTTCTTGAGGGGAGCTTGGCTTTGGGATGGCTCCTAGCCGTTCTCCTTTGTCGACCCACTGCCGCCTCCTCACAGAGTTATAGTAGAGAACCCACTTCTCATCTCCAGTGATCACCGAGTTGAGAAAGCGGAGCTTGCTTCGAAAAGTGAAAAGAGGGACCCATCGACCAAGGTTTGCTACCTTGCCGACCTGATCCAGTTCACGCACAATCGTCGATTAATTATAGCCTAGCATGGTCGCCATTTTCGTGGTGGCAAGGTACGGATCTCTTCCATGGTGGAACGTAGTACTTCCAAATCGAACTCAATCGGCCGACCCGACCTTGAAGCATCTTCTAGAGAAATTCTTCTTTCTCGAATTTGCGAAACAAACATTGCGTGTGAGGTGTGAGATGACGTCCTCGCCGTATGCTCCGACTAGCTTGGCATGAGCTTCCTTTGCATTCCAGCCGGAATCGTGAAGCGAAACAAGGCTGTGGCGCAGATACATTCTGTAACGGTGTTAACTGTGCGGCATTGTCGTCTGCATATGCAGGGTGCGTGAGTGATAGCTAGTGTGATGAAAGAGCATTATACACAAGTTACGCAAATATGATGATGATATATCAAAATCCATGCAAACGAAATGCGGAAGGGCCAGGATCGGGGGAAAAAAATTATGCATCAATCTAATATAAGTACCCTAATCATGTACGTTCAGAGAAATAGGAGTGTCGTAACATGATTTGACACGTCGGAGGTCAAAGGGAGACCTCTTACTGTTATTACGTCTAGTCTGAGCCGCAGAGCAAACCAAAAAACCGGTTTTGAACAGGCAAAAACTGTAGTTGCAAGCGATTTATAACATGCTCCACTATAAGGTCTTACACTTAAGGTTGAAGCATTTATCATAGTGTTGCCGTTTCTTTCTGACGGTTGCATACCATAATGTGTCACTAGCTTCACTGCAGCTGTGTCCATCCAGGCCTCACTAGCTGATGTCCTGAATGGACACAGCTATATTGAAGGCGATGCACAAATAGAGATCAATAGCGAGGGGTTCTTCAGCTTAACATTCGGTTAGAACCGATTCAACCAACTTGATTTTGTATGATAACAAAGGAGCAAATACTTTTCTACAGAAGGCGTTTTCAGCGCACATCGCCTCTGATCAATACTGGAAGCAATCGTGAAATGTATACCGATCAAAAAATAATATGAACTTTGAGATGGATGCTCGTGTTGGCCACATACCTGTGGCTAGACTAGCATGTATTCCTCGTATCACATAATTGAAGCCTTTCATGAGTGCAAAACTACATTGCTTCTCATGAAAAACACCTCAGAAAAGAACTAGCAAACTCTTGCAAAAGTGTGATTATAAATCAACATTATTATGATTATATGAATATAATTATAAATGTTTTCCGATGGAAATGTTGAAATTACATCATGAAGGATGCAAAACGATCGGGATTTTATGCCTTCTCCGAATATAGCGCCAAATATGCCTTTCAAAAGTGAGAGCGATATATATACTTAAGGTGGAGAGTTTGCGATGACGTTATATTCGCAGATAACACGTCAGGCACTTGAAGACAAACACTTCAATCATCGAGAAAATGAAGCTGGAAATTTGCAAGTAGATCAAAAATTTCTATACTTCCCCGTGAGCAGGTTATCCGTTGGTCCTAAATTCTAGATTGCGCGAAATAAGTTGAAAACATTTGAAAACTTAGTGATTCAATTCATTGCCTTCAGTTGAAAGTTTCGAGATTGTGCCATGAAAGATATCAAAGTGGTCAAGATTTCATGCTCTCATCGAACATAGTGTCATTTATCCTTGTATAGTTTTGAAACGAAGTTTCCAGTTGAAGTGAGGAGTTCACAATGTTGTTATATCTTTAAGTAACACAGTAGGGGCTGTGAGGGCCATTATTCATTCTTCCAGGTGAGGAATGCAAAAAAATTGGAAAAATCGGAGTTTTTGTATATTTCTGAATTCTACGCGATCAGAGCTTTTTGCTCAACTTTTGCTAGACTTGCTGACTTGCAAGAGAAGCTATGGCGTACCGACGGTTTACGACGAATTAATCTGTCGCAACGGATTAATCTGTCTTACCGTGGTTTGACCACGACTTAGTATCAGTATTAGGTGACCTACGGATCTCCTTCACTGAGGGTTCTCTTGCACTGAAGGATTCTCAGCCGGTTAGTGAAGAGGCTACGTAGGGCGTCCCCAGGTAGCGGGTAATTGAGTTGATCGCCGACCAAAAGTCGCGAGTACTTGCCCAGAGACGCAGGTGAACTTAGGGATGAACTCTCTGATTCTGCTGTGCTGGTCAATACCTTCTATTTCTCGCAGGCGTTTCCGCGCACACGTGTCTGGAGAGTCTGTGGGTGCAATTGGTATCCTACCCATCGACTCAGCCAAAACCTTGCATTTGAGTGACTGGGAAGTATTTGGGAAGCGATTCGGGGCAGCCTCCGAAAACAAAGCCCCCCGTCCAAGCTTCGGGATAGCCTAGCAAGCCCTTCAAGTCAACCTAGCCTCCACACCAGAGCCTGGCAAGCTGCACGTTGGGTATCCACTCGCCAAAAACAGTGATAAAAATGTGCCTCATTCCCTTGAACCTGAGCGACCTCCCAATACACAGCGTTGGGTAGGACCGCTCGGGAGAAGCTGCTAAAATCTCAAGTCCAGAACAGGCTGCCCAGAAGGAGAAGGACTAAGATGGCAATCTGTACATTCAACGCACGGTCGCATGCATCGGAAGCTTGTATAGACGACCTGATGATGCAAGCTAGGATGATCAAGTACGACGTCACCGGACGAGAAGGCATCGCCTGCTGCACGCTGCATTTGAGACTACAGAAGAACTATTTCTTGGTGCGACAGCAGAGGAGTCGGCGGCGTAGGTGTTCTCGTTAATACGCACTTGGCCATAAACATCGATTCGTACGAAAGCCTAACAACCCCATAAACATCGATTCGTACGAGAGCCTCACAACTCCAATCGGACGTTTGCGGTCAAGAAGATATGGTTTCGCATGAATCTGGAGAGGCTCTCAGGAAAGACCACACTTTCTTCAAGGTCAATGTCAGTGATTTTAAGATTGGCCCCATAATAACGGCTGAAGATCTACACATCTGGACTCACGGAATGGAACGGAATGAGCAGGGTGAAAGGCTGTCCGAGATTATCATGTCAACCCACACCAACATGGTAACTCGCAACTCCAGAAGCCCTCTCATTTGCGATGGGCATGGGAGTCACCTGGTGACCGCAGATTTCGCCTGACTGAAGTCGCTGTTGTTCAGAAGTTCTACCACCACCAGGACCAGACCATCGTCTCCTCCGCGCTAGGCTCTGTTTCTCAGTGCGCGAAAAGTGAGCTATGTAGGTCAGGAAACGAAGCCCCAAGACCTCCATTATCAGGGACCACTCCGCTTCCCTTGCGAGTAAATGGGGAAATCTGTTATCGACAACATCGATGAACAATACAACCAAGACTGAGATGACTTCCCTTCGTCATTTTATGGAACGGTTACTGCATCTCGAAGGGCAATGGAGAAGGTCAACTACGAGCAACGTCCATCTGCCTTCCCACCATCGTAGGCGAAACAAATATATCGCTCCTTTGGTTCTCCCTTCCGAAATACGACATGCCATCGCGTCGATGAAGAACTGTACGGCGCCCGGCCCGGAAGGATCAAATCATAAACCAGAACATCTGAAAAGTCTTCCACCAGTTATCGTCAGAACTCTGGTTAGGCTTTTCACACGGTACTGTCGGAATGCGAAGTGTCCACGTCGTGGAAAACTAGCAAGACTGTGTTGCTGTTTAAAAAGGGGAGATCCAGACAATATTTGCAAATATTGCCCAATCTGCCTACTGTCGGTGAACTATAAGCTTTCACTCGCGTCATCCTAATCAGGATTGGTAGAATATTAGATGAAGGATAGCCATAGAGCAAGCAGGGTTTCGGAGAGGCACAATCGATCATATCCATACTCTTGCAAGACTCATTGAAATATCGCGAGAGTACAAAATGCCGCTATGCCCTACGCTCACCGATTTGAAGAAAGCCTCTGACACCGTTGAGACAGAAGCGGTAATTGAAGCTCTAGACAACCAGGGTGTTCCTACTAAATATATAAGGATGCTTCGTGAGCTCTACGACAACTTCACGACCAGCATTTCGCCATCCTACAAGGAAGTCATTATCAACGTGAAGAGCGGTGTCCCGCAGGGCGATACCATCTCGCCCAATCTTTTCAATGCCGCTCTCGAGAATATCATGCGTCATTTGGATTGTGAAGACTTGGGAGTGAAGGTCTAGGCCAAGGCCGCTACCTAGATCACTGCTTTGCAGACGACATCGTGCTTATAACATCGATCATCGAGCAGGCGGAACGAATGCTGGCCGAGTTTGACAATGCTTGTGGAAAGATCGGTTTGAGACTGGACTTAATGAAGACCATGTTCATGAAAAACGGATTGGTACCTGATGCTATTTTCATGCTTAACGGAACGAATATTTCCGAATGCTCTAGCTATGTGTAACTATGACGGGAAGTCAACATGAAGTGCTGTGCGGAAGGAAACGGGCTGCGCGGGGAGTATTTAAGAATATCGAGGGAGTAGTGAAGAAGACGAAGAACATCCGGCTTCGCGCTCACCTTTTCGGCACTGCTGTCCTTCCTGCTTTGACTGAGCATGCTGCCCGCGTTACCCAACGCGCTTTGGAAAGGGCAATGCTCGGAATGTCCTTATGCACGCAAGTGCAGAAGGGAATCCGAAGTTCCGAGGAAGACTCAACGAAGGAAGATCAGGGATGCCGTCGATTAGGCCAAGAAATCGAAGATCAGGTGATCCGGACACGTTATGTGACAAAGTGTTGACTTTTGGACCTGTGCGGTTAATGACTGGATTCCTCGGGACATTAAACAAACTCTAGGACGGCTGCCAACGAGATGGTCAGACATCTTCACGAAAGCTCTGAACGAAAGGAATGTTGAACCTCGTGTCCCTGAGCGGGAACGATTCACTGGACCACTCTGGCTTGTGACAGGGACGAATGGAGACCTCACTGGCGCCCGCTCGAGGAAGTCGACGATCAACCATCGTGGGGGAAATTTGGTGCAGCTTATCGGAACACATTAATTGGGTGAAGCGTAACACCGAACACCTCGCATGTCCCCAGGCGATATGTCTAGGGGTTCTTTTATATGAGATTACCTCAAGCCACAGAGTTTTCGCACAAAAGCCCATAATATTCGATGCTTTATATAGTAACTGGATTTATAGCCGCACTATTTCAAATGAATGTCGTCAGTTTTATGTAAAAAATGACTGCCACTGAATTGCACCTGCGAACATGATTCATTCTTCACTTTCGCCTTCCGTGGTACTATAATTCAGCAAGTTGGTTCATCGGAACTTACAAAACAATAAGCAAGCACAACAAAAAAGCAAAGCAATCAACAGAGTCGAAGACACAGACACACCACCGTCCTCACTTGCTTATTAAACTCATCAGTGATTTGGGGTTAGTGGATAGAAAAATTTCAGCATGTAAATTCATATATATACAAAAATATATATGTATATACATATATCGACCTATGTAGCTATATCAGTAATAGTGAATTCTTCTTCATATGCATTTCGCAATAGAATTTTCATCACTTCTTTTATCTTTGTTGTGAATGATCCAATACTATTACAGAACACTATTGGCAAATCTCAACGTTTTTGATTGTATGACAGAGGCATTATTGGTTCTTAATTCATCGGTATCATCAAGCGGAAGTCTGACAATATTGAAGCTGAAATCGTCAACTTCATAACATAGTTTAGAACTGATTTCATTGACTATAATAATATTCGAGGCTATAATAGTTGCTATTTCTACCACTCGAATGTGTTTTTTCAGTTGCATGAATTTCTACATGACACAGGAAATGTTCTTCAGCACGTGATTCTGTTTGATTACGTGTGATTCATAATAGTCCATGAATCTGTAAGAATAAGAGACTTTGTTCTAATAAATGTCTTATTTATTACTCGATTTGATTTTCTTATTTACTATTTATTCAATTCACTCCATTGAAAGGGTGGCGGAGTCCGTTCCTCCAAGGGGTGCCACCGGAAACTGCTGAGCTGACCTCGTACATTCGAATGCAGGCGACAGCCCCCCCCCCTGACAGGCCGGCTTACGAACACCCCCGTCACATCATAAATGTTAATATCACTTAAAGAATTTCGATGTAATG